GAAATCCGCATTATCCTCATCGAGAAATCAGATTCTCGTAAAGGAAGCAGGAAGGTAACATTGTTTAAAAGTACTTCGCGAAACTTCGTAATGGAAGGATTCCGTATTTTTACTATCTTTGTTCGATGCCTCAATATGATTCCATTTCTTGCTTCATCAAAACGAGCAAGAGTTCTCAGTTCCTGCTTCCTTTTTCCGCGTACAGCTTTCTTTTTTGCGATTAAATCGGCGGTACGTTACAATCTTACGTAACTTTCTTACAGATTTTTTGCGTACTTCGATTGCTTGCGGTATGCGACGATCGTTTCCAACTATTCGCGCAAAGTTTCGAGTTTCATTTCGGAAAGTTTCTGCCGACACGTATACTCGTGTGAGTGTGCGAGTTGCAATCGAAGGTTAAGTGTTAAGGAGTTTAGTATAGTTAGAACATAGAATTCGCATAACTAGCGTATTTTAGCGTCGAATAAAATTAGTTTACTTATATTAGATAATTTGATCTATTAAATAAATATTAATATATAAATTTTTTTAATCGTTACATTTTAATCATGTATAATAAAAATTATAACATAATTAGCATAATTAATGTTATTGCAGAGCGAAAATAATTACAATAATTTGATAAATAACTACAATAATTTGATAAATAATTACAATAATTTGATAAATAATTTGATAAATAACATAATAGATATATATGTAATTTAATAAATAAAAAATTATAAATATTATAAAAATATATTAAAAATATTATAAACATTAACCGAAAGCGGTAAAACTAATGTAAGCAGGCAGGAGAATTTAAAGTTTAAGAAACTAAATTTAAGATACTTGTAACTTATTTCCTAGATATCGAGTTCTTACTTTTATAATTGAGAGAAATCAAATTAAATTGCAAATTCAAAAGTTTAATTCTCTTTTTCATCATTGCGTATGAAATCCTAAAGTCTTGATATGTAAATCTCTCTCGAAAATATTTCTCTGATTATGGTTTATTTTATTTTTTTTTAATATTATGTATTTAATCATTGCGTGAACAAATGTAATTCGATCGGTGGATAAATTTAATGTGTAAATTTCAATTATTAAATGTTAGTAAAGATTATATAATGCGTAAATAATGTCCATAAATGTTCATTGCAAAGTGTAAATAATTACACATAACATAAATTGATAAATAATAAAATCTCATATATAGATATTAATCGACAGCAGCTTGTATGATAAAATATTGAGCACGAATACGATTTTATTCGTTATTTAAATGCGTACATTTGTATATTTGAATGCAAAAATAGTACGACAGGTAATGGAGTTTATACGAGAAGATAAACATTAATGAAAATATTTTGCATCCAACGCGTTACAAAAGAAATACCTTGTGCTTCTATTTGGCTGCTATATAACACATGAGTCGATGACAAATTTTTGAATGCCTACATATGTGCATTCAATATGATATATATAATTTATTCATGCTGGCGATAAATCGTATGTGCTCATGAAAATTCTGATTAGTATGCATAATTTTCATTTTGAATTAAAAAACCGAATCAACAATATCTTACCAACAACAGAAAATCCAGCATTACATTTTACATACATTTCTATTTATTTTTTTACGTTGCTCTAATTTCGCGTTTTATAAATAACATAAATAATATAATATATGTTTAAAAATAATATAATATATATTGAATTATATTAAATGAAATATATATATATATATATATATATATATTTGAATTATATTTAAATATTACCAAGATGATAGGTAGGGGCTAATTTAATTAGTTGTTAGCATCTTTTTTTAGTTAACTATATATTTTTGAGTTTACATTATGTGTGAATTTTTAAAATTATTTAAATTCATATATTGCACTTTTTTTATTTCAAATTTACAATTAACAGCATCTCTTTCTTTATGAAATCTTTTGCAAATTAACATAGTTGCTAGCATTTGCAAAGTTTTTGATACATTTGTATTATAATTTAACAAAGTATCTACTCCTATTGTTATGCCGTCGAAGAAATACATTATTGTATCACACTTAATGGATTTTTAATATATAATCAATCTTTGCATTAATCACAGAATCTGTAATTTTTCAACAAGACAGCAGACTAATCTTATGCTTCTGGAATTATCAATATTTATGATTGTTTGTTCGTTTGAATTCCGAATGTTTTTTTCTGTCGGCGAACTGCACGATAGAAACGCATCGATTATTTCCGATTCTCGTAGAATGGCTCCTACGCTTGTTATGTGCGGTAGTTAAATGCGACGTTAACGACATCGTTTTGTGACTGTAAAACGCGATCGCGTGATTTTTCGCAGTGATAAATAGGGCATTACACCTTGCAGTGAAAGATGCTTACAAAGGAGAAGTTCGTAAGATTTAAAAAAAAATATTGCATTCAGTTTACATGTACGAACATTGGGCTATAAAATTCTTATGTTTGCTGGAGAGAAAAATCTATCTTTTTTCTTTCTTTTTACTAGTCGTGAAATCTACACAGGATATTACTTTTGAAATTATTTTTCTTTAATAAAAATATGTCAATATCTTTTGAATTATGACGAGGGAATAGAATAAGTTATAAAAGTGAAAATTTAATCTGACAATTAAGTAAGAGAAATTTGATGTATTTACTTTAGAATTTTTAATTGTCAAGATATTTAAAATTAAAAACTGAACATACATATATATATATATATCTTAAAAATAAAAAATGCTTGATAAATATTGCTATTTTTGTCGATATTTGACGGCATGATCTTGTAATTATTATTCTTGCTATACATACGCGCGAGATCAATTCGTATTATCATCTAAGATAATTGCTTAGCGCATTATAATTATAATCGCGTATGTAATGTTTCAAAGCAATCGCAACGATACGTTATGTCCGATTCGGTGACCGTAATTACTAAACGCGGTCACGATATCCACTTGTCGCGCTTTCAGGGATGCAGGTCCCGTCCGTATTCGGAATATACATACAGACATTAATATGGTTGAGTACGAAATCGTAATCGCGCTCACGTTCACGAGGGCTTCTGTTATTATCACTTAGCTATTACGCGCTGCGGACGATCGTTGATGCCGATATATTTGATTACATAGCCGTGATTATCCGTTACGCGCTTAGCGTGCCGTTCGCGTACGCTTCTCGAGTTCGCGAGCGTGCAACGCGATAATTGCTAATGATACGCTTGCGAAGAGAAGTTTAACCGTTGCTGCGTGAACTGCCATCGTGTACAGGACAACGATAACCGTTGCCATTAATCTTGAAGCCCGCGTCGCCGCGCGCTGAAAATAATGCCGCCGTTTTGTTTAATTTAATGCTACCGATTATTTCAACACCGCGCGTATTTCGGCCGTAGCTTTTACAAAATTTATTTTTGTTTGTTTTGCATGATGATATATGTGTGTTGAATATACATATATATTGTTACATTTTCCGCGTTTCATTTCGCGATGCTGCTATAATTTCATCTTATCAAATCAATCGAAGTGCAGATGACAATTTTTTAAAGCAAAAAATAAATTGTATCGTTTAAAATTTCTTCATCAAAATGTAATTATCAAATGCTAAAATTGTTAAGGATTTAAAACTAGACCCTACTTTAATCTCTTATATTTTAATTAATTTTTAGTGGAATAACGGAATTTGAAATATTTCGCCAAGATATTTAAATTAAAAACTAAAAATTAGGGCACATAAAATTTTATATATATTAAAAAAAAAGTTTTTAAAAATTATTAATTTTCTAAGAAAATTAAATTGATATTGAAATCTGTATCGTTTGCATTTAACTGATATGATTGCATGTAAATTTGTTATAATATTGAAAAAGCTTAAAATTCTTTATTTCTTTGTAGTTTAGTTCCTTTAAAATCGAAAACTCGAAATTTCAATGTATCAAGATAAACCAAATTCATCCAGCCAGTGCTAAGTGAATCTCATATTTCTCCGTGTCCTAACCAAGATTTGCATATCTGACGTGAAACTCGAGCGACGACCATTGACGACGATGCGACTGATTGCGGGACTATAACCGTTATCGCGTAGAACATTAACGTTTCACGTTAACACAGCTGTAGTGGTTCGACGACCTCACGTAGCGCGGCCCGCTCGCCCAGAGCTTGACACTTGCTACTGCCGTGACCGCGGATAGCTATGATGCCTTACTTGCCGTCAACATTATCGCATTCTATTACTACTGGTGGCCGGCCGGACCCTAGCGCTTGTCAATGACTACTGATAGCCAGGCGCGGCTTAATGCCGAGAGCCGTAACTACTGTAATGTTCGTTGACGTTTCTATTGGCGCGATCGGCGAATCTATTGACCTGCATGCAGCTAGATAATTATTGTCTCGCGCGATTTATTTGGTAGCTCTTCCATCGTGAAAAATTAATTTCTTCTAAAGTTTCAAATTTCCACCATCATACATCATTTTAACACATCATTAATCGAAACATGATATCCAGATATCTATGCAACTAAAAAAATTGGCATTTTCATTTTTTTATGTAATTTAACTTTTAAGTAATATTATTATGATACAGTTTTAAAGAAACATTTTTACATTTTTGTGTTAAGAATATTTAATTCCTCAAAGGAGTTATATATATGATGACTGCAAACAAAGAGGATACGTTACGCGAGACAAGTCTTTTACAAAAATTAATAATATATACATTTACATACACATGCATATGTGTATATATATATATATATTTATATATATATATATATTTGAAAATATATCGAGATTTCAGTATAGAAAGTAAATGCACTCGACGACGGAATGATTTATTGGGATCTTCGCATACGTTCCTCTAAGAGGCTCTTCCGTCTTTCTCTTTTGTTCTCTAGTATCATTCTAGTGTCTCGAAGAACCAATAAATCCGTCTCTGAGTAACCAGAAACGAAGTAGAATAACGCCTTCTAGAGATCGCATGTTCATCCTCTTTTCTGTTTTCTTTTTCAGAACCTGAAGAACCAGATCATGACGACAAATGTTTGGGTGGAACAAGTAAGTAAATATACGTTTTTATATTATGTATATAAATTAAGTGTACGTAAAGGGCATATATAATATTTCTTAACGTAATCGTGTTATTTATAGTATAAAATTGTATAATTGAGTAAAATTAATAAAAATATAATTAATTAGATAAAAATTAAAAAATTTTCTTTCAACATAATATAAAATTTTATATAGAATAAAATTCTATGTAAAATTAAAGAAAAAACAAAATTTATATAAAACTTATATTTTAATTTGGAAAAATTTGTATAAACAAATTTATTTAAATTAACTAAATGCAATATTTTATAATATTGTCTTTTCACATACATACGCAAAATTTTTATATATAATTAGTAATTTATTGTTAATTGTATAATCAATTGTACTTATTACTTATGCATACGCTTGTATATTTACTTTAATATTTTATCTATTTTATTTATTGTTGTCAAAATAATTATAATTATCACCATAATTCAAATATTTATATTAATATATCCTAGAGATATCTAGGATTAATTGAACTATTAGAGCTTATCGTATTTCAATAATTAATTAGTAATTAATTGGGGAATTTAATAAAATATGCAAGAGATATGTTCTCTATAGTGAATTATTCGCACAATATTAGTTCGATAATATTTGACATTATCGATTTTCAATGTTTTTTTTTTCAAAATATACAATATAATTATTTTGTTATTATTAAAACAGAGTGTGGCTTCTAATATAAAAAATTTGTAACTTTTCATAATTAAAAAAAAATACTATTTCTTATTTTGTATGTGAACGTTGTTTTAACGGAAAGATATTGAAAGAAATATGTACTGCCAAAGTATTAAATTTCTGAAGCAGGAGATTACAAAAGACTACCAAAATTTGGTTTCTATCTTCGCAAGTACTATACACGATGCGATCGTATCGCTTTGACTGTCAGATCTTCCTACTCGACGTAAGGCGATGGTTTGGAATTTCAAAGTAGACGAATTTCATTCACGTTCGACGACGAAATCCGAATCGGTGCATAGCAGTTGGCCTTTATTGATGCGATGCCCTCCTCTTGAATTCGCGAGAATAATTCTGTGACACGATCGTTTCCCGTTCGTCTTTCGAATTTAATTCGTTTTGTGCTTCTTATTTAAGAATGTACTCTAGTTCCTTTACGTGTTGTTATTTTCTGTTATTATTTATTGTTAATAACATAAGAACATATATCAAAAATTTTACATATATATAGAAAATTCTTTATTTTGATTTATTATTTTAATTTATTGTTTTAATGAAGTTTTTAAGAAAAATAAAGAGATCAATACATATGTAAATGCATATATATTTTTTATTAAATAGTATTTAGATATTTAATTTGTGACAAGCACAATATTTATCTCTATTTTTAATACAATTTTATAAACATTTTCAGTTTTTAAAATATATAAAACTTTATCTAAAAAAAAAAGCGAGATCGAAACAAGACGAATTGTGTTATAGAATGATGTTTGTTAAAGGAATCCCTTTGATTTAGTTAGTAAGACGTGGGATCAAAAAGCTTGCTTGCTTTGCCTCACGGAATCTACAAGCGACAGGGCGGTGTCGATGGGATGCATTTTAATTGTAAAGTAGCTTGGACGCACGTACTTGACTCGCTCACGGATGCAATCCTCGTCTTGCAATGTGGAAAATTTGGAATTCTCCAAGAGTCGCCGGCCGATGCCTGGCGACGATCCAAAAAACTTGATACCTCGATAAAATGGATTTCATCGGAATGTATCTGGATGCCTGTTGGTTGACTTTGGTATAACTTTTTGTAAACGTTCCAAGTTTTTTCATACATACGAGGCAATAGAAAGAGAATTCGAAATGATCAAACTTATTATTAATTGGAAAAGAGGTTACATATAAATTTTAAGATGCATCTCTAAAATTTAATTGCGAAATTTCTAAATATATTACTTGAAAACTGCGATAAGACAGTATATAAATTCAGATGTTATAATGCTCTACAATTATAAAATATGATATAATTCTTAATTTCTATTTTCTAAAACTAGATTTGATCAAATACGAAGCATTTTTTATGATATGAGTTTCAATTTGTTTTACGATAAAAATGCATACTTAATTAATTTTTTTTATCATTTAATTATACATTTATAATTCAGCATTTAATTTATTTTAAAAATGAATGCACTTATACAAATCTTTCCAGGTCCAAATAGAAAAATAAGTTTTGCATTTATTATTTTATTTCTTAGGTACTCAAAATTTATTAATATTAAAATTTTATCCGATATCATTTATGAATAATTTATTGAAGTTGTTTTCTGTTCGAAATATTGTATCTTTTTGTGTTTTCTCTCTCTCTTTCTTCCTCTCTCTTTTGATTGTTGAGAACAACAATCACATAATACTCTTGAATCTTGTAGAGAATTTTCGTTAAGCGACCTTGAGTACCGGAACATTTCAGCCGCGAACAATAAGCCTTTAGTAACGAGATCCAAGAGACGCAAACTTCCTGAAAGTTTGGCCGGAAAGTTAAACCGTAGGCAGAAGATCTCGAATTTATATCGGGCACTTCTCGTTTTTTTGTACGAAACTTTTTTTGCTGTCCTATTCTCCCTTTTTATCCGCGTCGTGGGTTCGTCACAATCGTTTGTCAGCGTCAATAAGCGAGGGCGGCGATCTTCTTCTTTTTTTTCCTCGTTTCTTCTTTCTTTCTAACGTCGACCCGCAGAACGATAGCGAACGAGTTCCCCTTCGGCGTCATATCAATCCACCGATGAAGTGGCACTCTTTTATCAGAGTTTCGGAATTGCTTGCGATTACTGTACATCGAAGAGAAACGAGTTTCTTTCTAGAGGAAGAGGAAGACTGACTGGCAGTCTCAACGGTATTCTTTGATGGGTTCGGAAGTTCCGCGATATACTTGGGGAAGTAAACAGTCATATGTTTTTCTTGACAGAAAGTCGACGAGGGTAGGGGGGGGGGGCGGGAAGTTTAATCGTGAGTCGCGTACGACGGTGGTAGCTGTCGTATCTTGTTTGTAAAACAGAAAGAGGATATTATCTTCACCCTCCGAAGACAAATTGCGGAACCGATGGAAACAATGGGGGAGGATGGTGGAATTTCGCGACGGGAATAGGACAAGAGAATCTAAAAGAAATATTTTTCCCGTAAGCTGGTTATAATTGGGGAAAAAAGAAGAGACAAGCAACAGCAGAGCGGCACGGTGCATTTATTAATAGACAACTGTGCGGCTTGCATAATCATCGCGATCAATTTCGACCGGATTTATCCAGTTCGAGTGTTCCCGATTCGAGTGCAACCGCTATTATTGATATTGTTAGAATAATTACAACGAACCGGAACGAGGGAGAGAGAGAGAAAGAGAAAGAGAGAGAGAGAGGGAGGGAGAGAAACGCGACGATTTAATACACGCGCGACTGGCGTTCACCGCTCGGCGTATCAGTTTGAATTTCATCGTCGATAGGAAATCGTAATCGACTGTGTGTCGTTTGGAATTGCACGATGCTCAATTACGATACGCGCGTGCAAATTATCGACTCCATCGAAAAATTATTTAATTGGGTTATCGTCCGTATTATTACTGCCGCATCTCGTTTGCGCACATTTCGAGAGATAGATAGCTAGAGAGAGAGAGAGAGAGAGAGAGAGAGAGAGAGGGAGGGAGAGGAAGAGATATTCAAGCTCTCGTTATTATTAGTGGAGACGGGTTTTCAATTCGCCTCATCTCTCTATTGTCGAGCACCGGCGGAAATCAGGCCGAGTTCGCGACACAGAGAGAGAATCTCTCTCTCTTTCGCGATATTTGTACTATAAATATATGGCGGGGGCGGGCGCGCGCGCGTCATAGGGAAGTTTCCGTACTCTCCTGCTTAGCCTTTGTAACTGCAACATAATATAAGTAGAAGCTCTCGCTCTCTTCCCGGCCTTTTGTTCATTAACCGACGTGCCCGATCAAGGCTCATGCCGCACTTAACTTCTCGATAACACGAAGAAGTCCGTGTTACAAAGACGAATCTGAATAACGTATTCATCGCGAGAATTTACGTAGAAAACAGTATGGAATTTGTCGTATCGTTGTCACATAAAGCTATTGTATCGCTAATCGTTTAAGCGAGTTTATCTCGTTCGTTTTTGTGACATTATCTATCTTATTAAAAATGAATATTATTATCTAATTCAATTGATTAAAAATTGAACGTTTTCATGTTTAATAGAATTAATTAAATGATAGATACGCACATACATGATTTATATAAACATTTACACACTGTATAAAGAGATACAAGCGTATTCTGTCGATAATTTCAAACAAGTTCTAGAATGTTTGAATTTAATTAACGAATGTGGCTAAGTACACATACGTGCTCTCGATTTAGCTCAAGTTTTTCTTACGTGTGTTTAATGCATGATTCGAGAATGAAGCAAATATTTTACGAGACATCGTAACGAGAGATTACTTTACACTCGATGAATACCGGAATATGACATTTGCGCCGTGAAATGACTTAAGAGTCCGCGTATTGTTAGTTCCTCTCGCCCTTCTCTACGGAAATAATACGGTTGATTTAAGGATTATGGATATACAAGCGCGACTGGCTTGCTCAAACATCAAGGATAAGATGTCCGCATCGCGCGGATTATTTATTCTATCTACTATTCTGCCATTGTGTGCGGCTAAGCGAGTTTTGCGGCTTCGTAATGTCCGACACGGACGATTGTCAGCGTTGCCAGAAAACAAGCCGACAGCTTTCGTCGAGTCGTGCCAAGTTTTCTCACCTACTTTGGTAACAACGGATTCTTCCTGTCCTCCGCGCTTGTTTTCCATCTTGCGCGAAATGTTCTGACACGAACTCCTATAGAAGTTAAAAGATTCTATCTGACCTCCCGTGAAGGGAAGAAGCGCTGACCTGAGAAATCAGCGCACGATCTGTGATGCATTCATATAATCTGTAACGATACAACTGCTATTTCGTTTCGAA